ATGCAATAAAATACGATGTTTTGTTTGTTATATTCCAATATTCTAGAGAATATTATTCAGTGAATTAACATTATCCAGTGAATTATTCTTCAGTCTTTAGCCTATTAAACATCTTATAAACCTACTAAAACTGTAGTTTAAAATGAAGTTGATATGACTCCTTTCCTTTATTTATTTTCTCCATTTGAAAACATTAGACCTTCTACATTTATTTTGCTCATTGTTAATATTAGTGTTGCTGCTGATGCTTTAAATAAAATGGTTTTTTATTGTTGTAATGTGAAGATTAAATTTAACATGAAAGACTGCTAATTTTCAACACTTAAAAAAAAAACAAACCGAATGATTAGTTGGACTAATCCTATTGATGTAATCCTAATGAAAGAGCTTAAAGTGTGAAATATAATGTTCTCAGTGCCACTGTGCTCAACAAGACAGCCTAAACGACGTAACAGGCAACGTGCTGTCTGTCCAGTGGCGTAGCGGACAGCCCCGTGATAACCTCCCCTTGCTGGGGTGCGCCGAAAGACGATGATCTCGACGATAGCCAGAGATATTGTCAAAAACAACAATTATTGGCAATATTAAGAGGATTTGGCATTTCCAATTAATGTAGGCCTGTTACATTCCTATTTTTATTAGGCCTATTATTATTATGAAGTTACTTTTATTATTAAATTAAAATTACAATTAATTTGCCCCGCAGTATTACCGCATAATTGACCCGCTGCGAGGATAACAAAAGATTAGGCTATTTACTTTTCAATTACCATGTTATAAAAAAAGTTTTTTTAAAACGGGTCTATTATACAATGGATTATAGGCCTATAATTTAAATATTAAAACTGCAGTCATCAATAAAAATCAATGAAATAAAAAGCTTTATTTCACGCACCGACTTTCAAAAACAACCTGTTTAACATGAAATGTGTTTCTTATTTTGTTTTTCACTATGTACAGGCCACAAGAAAAATATGAAAGGAATAAATTAAAAGTTAGCTATATACCATTAGCATATGTTGAAGTAGATTCGTCTCTCGTCGTCTCTGAGAGATTATGCAGCGTCAGATGCCGAAAGCTCCGTCATTACTCCGTCATTCCGTTTTTACTTTCACTGACTGCATAGTGAATTGACTGAGATTAAGATGTTCACCGGCATAACTCTTGCGCAAAGTTTGCACGTTGCTTGTGTGATATCCATTGGCTCGACTTCATGGTTTAAAACAGAAATATTTTCAACATTGCGATGTAAGCAATTACCCCGCCCCCGTATCGAAAACGTACCGAACCGTGACACCACTGTATTGTATTGTATCGAACCAAACCGTGAATTTTGTGAACCGTTACTTATATTTATATTTTATTTAATTTTATTTGTTTTTGTTAATTAGTATTACTAATTACTTTTTTATTCATACATTATTAATACATGAATCCAAACTAAGTTAACTAAGATAAACCTGGTGTACAAACATGGAATCGAGCAGAAGCAGTTTAGACTTTAAATGATCTGACCTTAATCTTTTAATGTTGTCAAGTTTCAGACTAATTTATGACTCTTGTCTGTATTGCAGGTAATTGGTCTACTAGATGCTTTCTCGCCTGCTACCTCTCTAGCAGAATTCAATGACGTGTGAGTATTTGCTTCATTTCTTGAAGGTGGTCTGACTAAAATTCTTCATAGGCTCTTCAGATTGTCAACTTCTCTGATTTCATCCCTGCATCCAGAACGTACTTCTAGGAAATGTTGTTGTAAAAGGTTGCATGTTCTGTGTGGTGTTATGGCTTGCAGGTCTGTGGTTTCTGAGCCATACTGAGAAACAGCTGATATGTAGTGTCACACTGCAGTAATTACTCAGGCATAGCTGCCACACCTCAGTAGCGTGCAGCTCCATCTAATTACTCAATGTGTAGGTGTCTCCACTGCACAACCCTGCATTGCTCAATAAAATCTTAATTAGATGTAGTCCTGATGGTGTGTTGTGTGCTCACTTTATCTTGAAGGACCTGTTAAATCCAGTTACGTTTAAGTGCCTTGCATCCAGTTGTCAGAGCGATAATCGAAAAGCAGCAGCGGTTACTTCCTGTCGAGTTCTGCTCCGGGAGGGGCGACGAACATCGTGGCTGTGCATGGTTGGGAATATCCGTAGTTACCATGGCAACACGGACTCATCCGTTCAGCATAATTTCCTCATAGGCACATAAGCAATAACCTGCAAAATGCTATTGCCTCATAATGTAACTGCCTCTTAAAACAGTCAACACATTCAAAAGAGAATAAGAGCACCTTCTGGGAATTATAGATAAAAATTGCCTTGGTAAGAGTTTCATATGAGCTGACGCATTTCAAAATGTTGTTGTTTTGATTTTTCTTCAATTCACTTTTCATTCATGCTGGTATTTTTGGAATATTACATGAATAATACATGATAATTTAGTGTTATTGTAATATGTCATTTTTGTTGTGAATATAGGAATGTATGATTAACACATTTCTTAAATTCTTCAGTGTCGCACATCATTTTATGCTAGTCTGACTTCTAAAAAAAAGACCATTATACCAAAACATTCACTGAATAACTCGCTATTGCATTTCTGTACTGTTAAATTCCCTTATTTGGATTAAATATGTGACTTTAAATTTCAAAATAACTGCAATTAGATTTAATAATTGCAATCAGGCAGTTATTCACATTATTAGCAAAGTTGCGCACTTGTACTCTATTTGCGCAATCAATGTTATAAACCATATAATAAGAGGTTATAAATAAAATACAAATAAGAGCATTAATCACAGAACCATCTTTACAGAGCTGAGTAAAGAATAAGTAAAGATGTAACACAGCATAAAAGCCAGAATAAATTATGCCACTTGTAATTATTGTGTAAATGCATTCATGCCACCTCTGAGCAGCATTAAACAGTCTGTGTAAATACACCTAAATGCCTTTGAATAACACCTAAGAGCCAAGTTAAGGCTGATCTGTGCCTGCTTAAAATTTTGTAAAGACGCAGCATGAAAGGTCAAGTTATGCGAGATGTAATTACTATGTAAATTAATTTTAGCCCCCTCTGAGCATCATTAAACAGTCTGTGTAAAGACACCTAAATGCCACTTCTTACGCGCTTCTGTGCCACCTTTGTAAAGTACATTTGTCAGTGGTTTACAAATGCAAAGTAAAAGTTTGAAACCTGATTACCCTTGATTACTAACCACACAGTCAGGTATGATTATGAAACATTGTGAAACATGGATCCTGGGTGTGACACCCATTTTTGTGTAGGCTCTTTGTATGTCCAATGTAAAATCTGGGTCATTGACGCAAAAAAGGCTATCATATAGGTCCATCGTCCCATTTTAATTTCAAGGGGCTCTTTAAGGACTGCTTTCATGTGCTGTCGAAATGTTGAGCCCAGTCTCAGTATAGTTTATTTAAGTCGGGTGAGAGCTGCTTGAGGTCACGACTGCCGGGAGACGCAGAGGAAGAACGAGCTCCAGTGTAAGTTGTGTTTGGCTGCAGAGAGATTGGAAACAGGAGCTGGGACTTCTACACACTTACACTGGAGGAAGGGCCTTACTGTGCTTTATATTTGCATTGCACAAGCACTGCAAGATGCATGGAAACAAGAGCTAAGAATACTATAATACTCTATAAATACCCCGGCCCCAAAATCTCATGGAGAATGAGTGGGATAGCAGAGCTCGGGGCAAGAGGGAGGAGCACGTTTGGCAAGAGATATTTCTGAACTGTATGTATCCATATACTTGAGTATCTGCTATGCAAACCTCTCTGATGAAGAGCTCGCCTTTAATGGAAGGCATTTTCACTACCGTAAGGTTATTTCACCAGGCATGTTTGACTCGAGCGTTAGAAGAGTGCAGAGCAGCAAAGCGCTCGTGATTGTTGAGGTTAATGATAGCGCTCATGGCCGGGTCAAACAAGTGCTGCTTGGGTTCTTTTCACCGCTCAACAGAGCTTCCAGCAGGCCGCCTGTGCCCAGCTGGCTCCACACCAGACGCATTCCACTCTTCCCATCTGTGCACGGACAAACTAATTGGTTGTACTGGATGTCAATCTGGACTGGTGATCCACTGAATTTTTTTTATTTACCCAAAAAGCAAGATCAAAATTAGAGTTCTTATTTAAAAAAAAAAAAATACAAAATAAGGTTCAACACTCAAATAAAAGTTGTATATAAATATTTAAATTGCTCATAAATTTTATATATATATATATACAGTTGTGCTCATAAGTTTACATACCCGTGGCAGAATGTGCAGAAATGTTAATAATTGAAACAAAATAAGAGGGATCATGAAAATTGCATGTTATTTTTTATTTAGTACTGTCATGAATAAGCTGTTTCACATAACAGATGTTTACATATCCTCCACAAGACAAAATAATAACTGAATTTATAAAAATGACTCCGTTCAAAAGTTTACATACCCTTGAATCTTAATACTTTGTGTTGTTTCCTGGATGATCCATGACTTTTTGATATTTTGTGATAGTTGTTCATGAGTTCCTTGTTTGTCCTGAGCAGTTCAACTGCCTGCTGTTCTTCAGAAAAATCCCCCAGCTCCTGCAC